TGCACAACCGCTACAATTGAAACTCTCAATCACATGTTCACCACTGTCTTTCCCTATCTCAGGCGGAGCTGGTGGAAACGAATGCGGCCTGAAACCTGCGACGAGTGGTCGCAGAAACCCGTTGTCATCATACTTCCTGCACAGAGGAGCACAAGCTCCAGCACCTGGGCGCGTGCGTGTCGCATCGGCGCCCTCAGAAGTCGGTCTAACAGGGGAGGCGCCACTTGCGTTCTCACCCTTGCCGCCAGGATGAAGCACCGCGCCTGCATCTGCCTCGCCTCGGCCTGGTCGCTCGCGATCCCCAGCAGCACCCTCATTCGTACTAACAGGGGAGGTACCACCTGCACGCTCACACTTGCCGCCGCGACGTGGAGTCGCACCATCAGCTGCCACCTCTCGGCCTGGCCGCTCGCGAACCCCAGCGTCACCCGCAGCCGTCGGACTTACAGGGGAGGTGCCACCTGCACGCTCACCCTTGCCGCCAGGATGTAGAGCCGCACCTTCAGCTGCCACATATTTGGTCCTCGAGGTTTGAAGGGGATGTGAGTGATCTCCAATCCCCTCCAATATGGTTCGCCCATCATGCGTAGCGAGATTCTCGTCGCCCATGCCGCGCTCTCTTCGCAACGTAGAGCTCCTCCAACTTGGCCGTGAAGTCCTCGAAACTTGAGCAGCTGGACCAAAGGCTAAGCCGCTCCTCGCTGGATAACTCGCTGAGCTCATGGTTACGTTTTGCTCGCCCTGCATCAGCGCCGACAGCTCCTGCTGCCGCAGCACCATTGTCAGAGGCTCCACCGCCTGAACTAGCCCTTGTCACATCATCGCCACTACCGTCACCCATGCTGACGTCAGGGGCAGTCTCCTTCGGCATGACGCGGATGTGAGCCTGCAACTTCTCCCAGAGCGGACTTGCCAATAAGTCCTCTGCTTCAGGGTTCTCTTTCTTGACATTGTCGATGTCGTGGAGCAGCACTGCGCCAGGCACAGCCTTGCACTCTCCATCGGCATTTTCCACCTTTCGGCGACACCAGCGCAGCCGTCCTGTCAAACTCCGCCTGCAGGACCGCCAGCTGCACCTTCTTCGCCTCCAACGTCTGCTCGCGCTCCTCGATCGAAACGCGCAGCTTCTCACACTGATCTTTCTTGTCGGCCAAATCCTTCGACATGGTTGCAATCGCCGCCTTCGCTTTGCTGAGATCCTGTGCCGCACGACGATGCGCTGTCTGAGGTGGCCGCATCTGCTTCTGCTGTGTGCGCAGCGTCGAGAGCTTTGTCTCCATGCTGCACCGTATATCTTTGAACTCCTCATGCGCTCCCATCGTCTTGATAGAGGCCTCCAACTCTTGGATTTAGAACAGCAGCTTTAGCTCGTCGTCCTTCATCCGTGTCTGGTTCAGCCTCAACAGTTTTGCTCGCCCGAGATGGATGCTGATGCTGATGCTGATGATGATGCTGATGCAGATGCTGATGCTGTTGCTGCTGATGGTGACGATAACTCGGAGAATAATGAGGAGGACGAGGAGGCGGAGGATGAGGAGGAGGAGGAGGAGGAGGAGGATCAGGATGATGCTGATGCTGATGCTGATGGTGGCGGTGACGGAGATGGTAGCGGTAACGGTGACGGTGATGTTGTTGATGCCAGAGACGTTTACGTTGACGACGACGACAACTACGATGACGACGACGACGTCGGCGGCGACGACGTCGACTACGAGGAGGATGAGGATGAGGATGAGTATGAGGATGAGGATGATGATCATGCTGATGATGATGATGGTGATGATGGTGGTGGTGATGGTGGTGACGATGCTGCTGTCCATGATGATTGAGACGGATTTCCCCCGGCGAGAGACGCGCCGCTCGGCTCTGGGTCCTCCTGCGCCAAACTGTTAAACCAACGCAGGACGCGGCGCCGATCATATCTGGACAGCGCGCAGCATTCTTGTGGGTTCGCATGCCCACAACAGGTTCCCCTTGCCTGCTCGAGGGCCTATACAAAGGATTCGGGGCCCTTCGGAGAGGGAGCGCGCCCCGCTCCCCAAGTTTTGGGAGGCAGTGGAGCTAGGGCGCATTGATCATCTGGTGAGCCCCGTACCCGATCTCGGGATCATGACCTCTGCGCCTCAGGAAACGGTTATCAGCCCCCCCCCTCCCCCCCCTTTCGGCGGAACCCTATCGCTTCTCGCCCCTGGAAGCGATATCGCGCTGCCGGACCCATGAGTGTGGGATCCCACCAAAATCCTCATTGAATCCCAACAAGATCCAAATCGGATTCCATTGAGAGCCCAAGAGGGTTGCACCATGGACCCAGTAAGATCCCGATCGAATTGCAATCGGATGCTAACAGGTTTCAAAGTGGATCCCAGTCGGATCGGATCCATCTTACTCCCACCGCCCCCGCCGCGGAATTATTGAATGTTTCGTGGTGCTACTCAATGGTATCACTCGGCGGTTGCCACCCCTCGGGAATTAAGCCAATTACTTCGAGTGCGAAGGGTAACGAGGAGGGGGGAAACGATAATCGCTTCCTCCAGTTGCATACGCACGCCTAAGGGACCTTGCCCGATTCGAGGATCGTCGGCAGGCGGCGAGACATGGGGGTGGGCACACACTTTGTCCGAGCGGCTGCAGGGGTCTGAGTCACCCCGGTGGGGGGGGGCGCGAAGATGATCGTGCTGCGCGCGTCGTGGCCTGGGCCCGAGCCGCTGCCTTTCTCCAAGGGAGTGGCACGAGGGCGCGAGGGCGCGAAGATAACCGCGATTCGTCACACAACAGCCAGGCCTGCGCGGGGCCCAGTCTGGGCCAGGCCCTGGTAGTGCCAGGGTCCTCCGGCCCGCCCGTTCTCGTCCCTGCGAACACCGAGCTCTTGGCCCAGCACGGATCTGCGGAGGCCCCCTGCTCGTTGCGAGGTGGTGCTGGCCGCGGAGATCGGCACAGTCACGAGACCGCTCGGCGGGGCTGGCGCCGTCGCACCGGTGAGAGAGACGGACAGCGAGATGGCTGTTCACCTCGGGTTCGCCCCGGAGTCTTGGCCAGAGCGCGCCCCAGGATCGGGCGGGTAGCAATTGAGGCTGACCCAACTGGGGGGGGCCAAGACAGGGGCGATAAATGGGGCCCTTTCGAGCACCTTTTGGGCCCCTGCTGGCTCCGAAAGGGGCCCCAGAGCGCCCGTTTCGGGCCCCTGCCTTCGCCCTCCATGTTCTGTCACCCCCCAGTACAGTCAACCCGCGTCGCAAGGATGAGCTGCTTTCCAAGGCTACCTTTGCATCCTTCACCTTCTGCCCATTCTTTGCCGCTTTCGCTGGCAGCGCCCCGCCCGTTAAGTGTCGACATGGCCTTCGAAGGCTTTTGCGTCCTTCTGCTGCGTCCTTTCATGCGGGTTGACTTTACTACCCGCCCGGCGGGAGAGGCCCGGCGGTGCCGGTATTTCTTGGGCCCGCCCCTTGCCCCGAGGGCCTGCCCCCTGGACCGTCCGCGCCGCGGCCCATGGGCGCCTTGCGGAGAGAGGGCCCCTCAGCTGCAGCCGCCCTCGCAGCGGAAATGTTCCACGGCCCCAAAAAGAGCCAGGGGCAATGTCAAAGGGGTGGATGGGCTCGAGGTTCGAGGTATCAGGTTTTCGGACGCTTTCGTTGGTTCCTGGCGATTTGCCAGCCTCGGATGCTCTTCAGCCGCTTCGCCTCGTCGAGGGCGTTCCGGGGGTGTCCAGATCGTCCTGGACGCCCGCCGTGCAGCCGAGTCAGGACCCGAAAACCACGGGGCAACGTCAGAGGGGTGGACAGGCTCGGGGGGGAACGCATCGACCCCCAATCGTCCATGGATCGTCGATAGGGGCCCGATGGCCCGCCTTGCCCAGGAGCGTGCGGATGCGCTATATTCGGGGATCGCCGACCCATCGGCGATGTACCGCCGATTCTAGCTCGATGCTTGCCCCCCTGAGCCGGCCCCTCCCTGACGCTCCCCCTGCCCCCCCCCCCCGCCCCCCCCCCTCCGATCCGCCCGCTGCTTTTAGGGTGCAACTCCTGGCAGGTGAATTTCAGAATCAGTGCTGGCATATCCCTTCTCCCAAACTGGCTTATTCCGGCTGAAGCTAGCTCCGGCTTCATCCTGCTGGCCTAATCCAGCTCCGTAGCAAGATAAAGTCGGGCTTAATAGCCATGAATCGTTCTGACGAAGGACTTCGGCGGCGAATTCCGAGACCTACGCTCGCCGATCAATAAATCAGGCAGATTGGTGGGAGGCGGGGGTTAGGTTTCAGAATCCGTCGAGCACGTGGCGAAATCCGAACCCTGCCCACGCCTCTCATCGATGCATGAGAGTGGTGGGGGTAGGGTTCGGATGTCGCCACCCGAACGGGTCCCGAGAGAAACGTACCCCGAGGTTTGTAGTCGTGTTCGGGACCGTCTCGGGATAAAGAACTGGTCTTGGGGTGATCTAGGCCTCCCAGATGGAGCCGAGCAGATGGTCGGAGGATCGCGCCGCATCGCCGATGAACGGGCCGATGCGGCTTGATGTGGGGCCCAATCTTCACGCCGACGTGGCCGATGCATCCGCGATGCATCGGCGAAGCGGCGCGATCCTCCGACCCCATCTACTCGTATCCCATCCGGGAGGTCTCTAAGACCTGGTCCTAGAGAAAAGACCATTTTCCTTCATGCCAAGCGCCCCGTCTGCTACCAACCGGGAACATGTCCCTATCCTTGTGACTAGCATCACCGTATCTCGATGCCGACCGCAAATATTCCCCTCAGCATCTGAAGGCACATCCCTAAGATTGTCATCGCCTCGGGCTTGTCGATCTTAGGGATAGTGACAAGCTTGAGTCTCATTAGAAGGATTCAGAGCCCGTTTCCCTCAGGGCCCGTCTCCTTCCTGCCAAGCGCCCCGTGTGTGCCCTCCCCTTGTGCCTTTTGCCTTCTGGCCCTGCCCACAGCGGGGGGCCGCGCGCGGGCCCGCCAGAGGTGGCCGAGAAGGCGCGCCGGTTGGAGGCCCGGCTGCAGGCGATGGAGGAGGACCACGGGGAGGCCGCCTGCGGTCCCGAGCGCGGAGAGCCATCGCCGATCGATCTTCTCCAGTCAGGTCACCCCCCCCCCCAGTGCCACCCGCCCGGTTTGTGTTGGGTTCCATGACCTGGCCTTGTTGGTTGCGCAGGTGCGGAAGTGCTACGCACTACTGGCGCGCGCGGGCATACGTGAGGCAGTCCACAGCAAACAAATGTGAGGTTGGCGGCCGGCACCTCCCCCGCGTCCACTGGATAACGCGGGTGATCGCCGAAAAACAAGATCGCCGTGGCGTTGTCTACCTCGGAGGAGAAAAGCACAAACACAGATTTTTGGAGCTCCGCGCGGATTTCTTGGATCGGCGTTGGAAGCCCCTCCGTGGAGCGAGGAGCGCTCAAGGGGCGGCGCAGGGATGGACTTCCGACAGTTTGGTCTCTACTACAGTCAGTGGACTTATTTGCTATTGGGAATTGGTCGTGGGCGGCTGGAACGCTTGCGCTCGGTAAAGGCGCACGGCTGCAACCCACGCCGTGCGCGGCCGGAAAAGCTTGCGCTGGGTAAAAATGCATGGCTGGAGCCCACGCCGTGCGTGACTGGAACGCTCGCGCTGGGTAAACATGCGTGGCTGGAACCCACGCCGTGGGCGGCTGGAACGCCCTCGATGAGCTGGAACCCACACTGTGAGCACTCGCGCTGGGTAACGTCATGAAGCCTTGAAGAAACCCCCCCACCCACCCCTTCATCCGGTGAAAGTATAACGCATCCGGCACCCTGGAAGCGTTACCTCGGCACCGGAGGAGCCCGCAGAGAGCATTCGGGGCCAAGCTAAGCCTTGCTGAGCTTTGCTAGCTCCCGCTCGGCAACGCTAAGCAATGATAAGCCAGGCTCGCCCCCTGTTGAGCCTTGCTAAGCCCATGCCAAGCCCATGTCAAGCCTTGCTAACCCCTGCTAAGCGCCGCTGAGCGCTGCTAAGCCCTGCTATCCCCTTCTGAGCCTTGCTAAGCCCTGTTCGCTCCAGTAAGATCTACTGGGCCCCCTGCTAAGCCCCTTGCTAAGCATTGCTAAGCCCTGCTTGCCCCCTGCTGAGCCCTGTTCGCCCCTGCTAAGTCAAGCCTTGCTAATCCACGCAGAGCCCTGCCAAGCCCATGCCAAGCCTTGCTAGCCCCTGCTAAGCTCTGCTGAGCGCTGCTAAGCCCTCTTATCCCCTGCTGAGCCTTGCTAAGCCCTGCTCGCCCTTCCCATCTCTTCAAATGGCGGGTCTCTGGCTGCGGATATCTCTTAGACGAACATCCAGTGCATCTCCTGACGCCAGGCCTGGCGGAATCCCGCTGGGCCCCGGTGGGCCTGCAATCCCTTCACATCTCACGGTCGCATTCCCTCCCTCCGTCTTTCCCTGCGTATTCTTATTCTGATTTCGATTATTATGAGTCGTCGTACTCTTATTCGAATTCTGAGTCGCACCCCTTATGCATAGTATCATTATTCATATTCTTGGTTTTCTGGTTATTATTTGCAGTATCGCTCCTTTCCGTATTATTACTACCGTTCACATTCTTATTAGTATTCGTATTCGCATTCGTAGTATTAGTCGTATTATTATTTTTAGAATTCGTATTCGTATGTCTATTCGTATTGTTATCCGTATGCGAATTCGCATTTGCATTCGAATTTCTATGTGTGTTCTTACTCTTATTATCATTCACAGTAGTGTCATTATTCTTCACATTTTTATTCGGAATCGTAGTATTACTCGTATGCGTACCCGTATTCGTATCCGCATTCGTAGAATTACCCTTATTCGTATTCTTATTCAGATTCTTATTACTAGTAGTGTTACTCTTCGTATTGTTATTATTATTATGAATTTTCTGCCTCTGCGTTCGTTTGCGTAATTCTTATGCTTATTCGTAATGTAACACATTATGATCATGACTATTCGAAACATTATTATCACCGTTCCTCGGATTCACATTCTTAGCCGTACTCTTACTATTCGACACATTCGTGGTCTGATTCGTATCAGCATGTGAATTGCTTGTTCGTACCCTGTTGATTGTTAGTTTCGTATTATTTGCCGTGTTCGATTTGTGTTACTCGTGCTCGCATTATTAATGGTATTCGTATTTGTGTCATGACTCTCATTCGTAGTTTCATTATCGCTGTTTGTTCGTATTCTTGTTATTATGACTCTTACTCTCATCCGTATGGTTAGTACTGTTATCATTTTGTTGCGCGTGATTACTAACATTATCCGTGTTCTTGTACTTGTATTATTATTCGTATTATGTTTCTTACTAAAAGGTTTACTCGCATTCTCATCGTCCTCACAAGCATTGTCGTTATTATTGGGCTAAGTCTGCCGCAATTCACTCACAGTTGGATTCATTGTGTGTCCACTCATCGGGCTCTCTGGAATTTCTGCGGCCTCGGGTGCTCAGATAGCGCTCCTGTGCGGGGATGGGGGCGATACCCTGGGATGGATCCCCCATAGGACTGCCCACGAAAACTAATTTCCCCAAGGGGGTTGCAATGATTATCTCGGAGGGGGAGGAGGAGGGGGAGTAAGAGAAGGAAGAGGAGGAGGAGGAGGAGACAGTGCAGTCGCAATCTCTTCACATCTCGCAGTCGCATTCCCTCCCTCCGTCTTTCCCTCCGTATTCTTACTCTTCTTTATATTGTTATGATGTGTCGTACTCCTATTCGGATTCTTATTCGTACTATTACTGTGATGCTTATTCGTATTATTCGTAGTATTGGCATTCTGATTAATATCGGCAATCCTACTCCCACTCGTAATAAACTAATGCTCGTATTCTGATTAGAAGTAGAGTTCGCATTATGCTTTCTTATTCGTAGTCGTATTCGTATAATGAACTTTCGTAATCTTAATCCGTATCCGTATGCAACATCATATTCGCATTCGAATGTTGTATCCGTACGTTTGTTCTTACTCTTCTTCTTTCTATTCGTAGTGAATTGTTTAGTCGTATTATTAGTCATTATTCGTATTATTTCTAGCCTGCTTATTATTATTTTCAGTATCATGATTCGTAATCTTACTCTTATCCGTATTCGTATTAGCATTACGATTATTATTCCTCGTCATCCTCATCGCAACTGTTCTCGCACATGCATCCTCGAACGGCATGGGTGCCGAGGCGTAAACAGAGGTGGCATATAGTTGAGGAGGAAGAGGAGTTCGAACAGGAGGCGAACAATGAGGCGGAGGAGGAGACGAAGGAGGAGGACGAGGACGAGGACGAATACGCGCAGCAGCATCACTATCAGTATAGAAGCAGCAGCGACAGAAGGGATTCCGATGGCAGGAGGAGGAAAGGGAAGGGAAGGGTATTATGAGGAGAGAATATGAGCACGTGTGGGATGACGAGGGACATCCTCACCACATGAATCCTCCCTCCCTTCCCCAGACGCATCCTCACCCAATCTCCTCATCCCTCTTTCATATCCTGTACATCATCCTCGCTTTGCGCCTTCCGATCTTCTGCGCGGCTGCGGAGGGGGAGATGGAACACGCGCAGGAACAGCGGCAAGAGGAGGGGATACAGATGGCAGGAGGGGACGGTTTGGGGGAGACGATGAGGAGGAGGTGATGGAAGAGGGGGTGGATGAGGAGGTGACGAAAGAGGTAGAGGGGGAGCAGCACGATATGGAGGAGGAAGAGGTCACTCTCGCCTCCCTCCATCCTCCCTCCTCGTCCCGCCTCCACCCATCCTTCTGTCCCATTCTCCCCGCTTTGGGCCTCATCCTCCTCCTTCAAGCCATTCGAGGTTTGGAGACGGGGGCGGGTGGCGGGTCGCTTCCGCGACCTTTCGCGGTCGCGTGCGGCAGAACCCGGGCGGAGCGTGCGCGGTTCCTCTTCTGGGCCCCAGGCTCGCCGAGGAGGGGGGGGAGGGGGGAGCTGGGATCGAGCATCGTTTAGGATCGAGCATCGATGAGAGTCGCAGGTCGAAGTCCGAGGAGTGAGGATAGATGCTCGTCAAGGACCACCTCGTCCTCGATTCTGGCTGCAGCACACCTGTCGTTCGGGGCGCACGGCTGTGCCCCCTGCGGGCATCGCACCCCGATGGCAGCAGGAGGCGGGAGGGAGGGAGGGGGCGGGGCGGGGCGGAGGAGGGAGGAGACGGGGAGGGAGGAGCGAGTCTCAAATAGGGGGGAATGGGAACGCCGTCGTGATGTGTGTCCGAAGCGACCGGAGCGAGCTGCAGGGGCTCCGGCAGCCGGGAACTTCTCGATGGCGTGTCGCGCCGCCGGCTCTGGCCCACCACGCTGCGAGGCGACCGCGCGTTCTTTACTTCGCGGTCCATGGGATTCAAAACGCGACAGGCCCGAGCGCAACGCCCCATCGGGCGGAGCGACACGCCATCCGCTATCCACTTACAGGGCACTGCGTATCGCCAGGGCCGCCGCCGCGGCACGCTGTGCTGAAGTTCCCGGCTGCGGGCCAGTCTTCGAGGATGAGGCGGCCGTCGAAGACATGTCGGAGACTGTGAGCCTTCGAAATGCGGGAGAGCTGGATTCCAGGGGCACGGCGGGGAGGGAGGCCTCCCATCCCTTACCATGGCGTAGATCCCCTCTCTACTCGCACAGTCGGATGTCGAGCAGGGCAATGATCCCGAAAGGGTACGCGATGCATTGTAGAGCACGGCATGGCATGGCGTAGAAGAGCACCGCAAAGCGTAGTATGTCACAGCATGGCGTGGCGTGGCGTAGTGAAGAATTGCATCACAAAGCTTTGCAACGCAAAGCATGGCATCGCACAGCGGCCCCGAACATAACATTACATAGCATGGCGTTGAAGATCAAAGCGTAGCATGGCATAGTACGACGTGGCACTTAAGCATTGCATATCACAGCTTCAGCTGAAGGCATGGCATCGCGCAGCGGATCGCAACCTAGCATTGCATTGCGTGCCGTGGCATGGCACGGGAAATGACGCCAGCGCTGCAGCGGGGGCACGAGTCGGAACGAGAGGAAGCGCGGAAATGAGGCCAACGCTGCAGCGGGAGCACGATTCGGAACGAGCGGAAGCACGGAAATGAGGCCAGCGCTGCAGCGGGAACACGATTCGGAACGAGCGGGGCCCGAAAATGAGGCCGGCGCCACAGCGAGAGCAGCATTTTGAAAAACAAATGCAGGCGAAAATCCAACTCCGGGGAATCCTGTGTGTAAAAAGCAATACGCGGGGGGGGCGAACAGTCCCAACCCGTCATCAGGGAAGAAGAGAGTAGAATTCATATTGAATAATGGTGGATATTCTAGGTGGAGGAGGGAGGGGGCAGGAGACGGCAAGGAGGGGAATGGGCTCGCTCCGAGCCCTGCCAGGCTCCGAGCTTCGCGCGCGCAAAGGGGGGCAGCGGCGCCCCCTCCGGCGGCGGCGGCGGCTCGCGGAGGGCGCCCCGAGGCGCAGGCGCAGCACGGCAGGGCCCAAGAGCTGCAGCGGACCCGCGTCGCGGACCGCGGCCCCGCGCCTCCCCGGCGTCGAACCGATCGCCGTGCCCGTCTTTTTCCCCTCCTCGTTTCTTCCCCCTCCTCCCCGGACTCCTGCCCCTCGGCCTCGTCCCCCCTGTCCCCCCCCCCCTCTTACTCCCCCTACTCCTCCTCGTCCTCCCCCTCCTCGTCTTTCTCCTCCTCCCCGCCCGCCGCCGCCGCCCTCGCCCGCGCCGCCGCCCGCCCTGGGCACGGCCCCCGCCTGTCTGTCTCCACAGGTGTGGCGTTGCCAAAGTGTTCCCTCCTCCCTCCTCCTCCTCCTCCTCCTGCTCCTCCTCCTCCTTCTCCTCCTCCTCCTCCTCCTCCTCCTCCTCCTCCTCCTCCTCCTCCTCCTCCTCCTCCCCCTCCTCCTCCTCCTCTCTCGCCTCAGCGCCGCGCACATTCGTTTTCAAAGTTGCAAGAGTTTCACGGATTGAGGGCGGTTCGTTTTCAACATGCGATTCTTGTTTCAGCGTCGCACACATTCGTGGCAATATGTTGCAAGAGTGCCACGGATTCCCATGATCAACGTACCAGGAAGTGTGTTTTGCAAGGGTTCATGATTATGAGGGTGCAAGAGTTGCGTTGATTCGCGGTGTTGAAGTCCCAGGACGGCGTTCTGGCACGATTCAGGATTGTCAAGACGCAACAGTCAGGTTGATCCGTGGCGTTGAAGTCCTGAGAATGGTGTTCTGGCACGCTGCAGGGTCTTCAAACGGTTGTCTCCCAACGGGGCAGTTCTCTCATTGGAAGTGAACCCTTGTAGTGGTCTTTAAAGGGGGAGCCTGGAGGGAGGGTTGATCCCAACATCTTTGATGAGTCTTGGGTTTGCACTAGTCTTTCTCCTCCTCGTCTTCGTCCTCCTCCTCATCCTCCTCCCCCTTCCCCTCCCCCCTCCGCCTCCCCCTCCTCCCTCCCCCCCTCATCCTCGAAGCATGCCCCTGTCCCTGTGATTGGCATCGCCTTGTCTCGATATCGATCTCACGGATTCCCTTAGTTTTTGTCATTACCTCGAAGACAGGAAAAAACAACTGCATATACATAGTATTTCTGAGTTCTGTGCGGAGTTAGTTTCTCGGAGGTCTTTTGTTTATCATACAAAGGTAATATCTGCGCCTGTTCGCCTGAAAGCGCCCCCCCCCTCGTCGAGCTCCACGCGCCACGAAGAGGGGTCCAGTGCAGATCCACGAAATCCGCGCGGGCCGTCCAGTCAGGCCATGACATCTCAGCCCCACCAGCCCAACTCCCCAAGGTGGGCATAGGCCCCGCAGAATCCAAAGAGGGGAGAGAAATTCTGGACGCTTCGCGTATCCCCACCAGCCAGTCTGTGTTTCTTGTCAGGCTCCCTGATTGACGCTCTCCTCGGGACCGAATTCACCTGTTTTCATCCGAACAGATGGGAACTCCACCGCGCCATTTTGGCTGCGCTCGGCTTCCTCGGTGCTTACAGACTCCCTGGATCAGCCGTTGCATGTCCCCTTCAGGGGCTGCTCTGCAGACTCCCTGGATTGCACGCCTTGGCTCAGACACCCTGGGTAGCCGCTGCCCGCCGCCTGACCGCGGCCCCGCGCGCGCTCCTTAGTCGCGGCCGCAGCCCGACCGCGACCGCCCGCCGCTGGCGCTTCCGCCTGCGGCTGTAAAAATTACCCTGGCGACGTACCCACCCCCTGCGCAAACGCGGGGCGCAGATAGTTTAGGCCACTTTATAAGGGGGGCGATGACGGAGCGAGGGTTACATATGTCTGCAGACAGAATCCGGGAGAGTCGCAGGACACTGGCTACAGGACAAGGACTAGATAAAACTGATTAGTTACAATCCCTGAGCAACCCTAGCCACTTCGAAAGCGGGGATCGCATATCGCAGCCCCCCAGGGACGGCGAGGTCTAATTTGGGTCCGCGCATGGCGTCACTGTGCTGGGCCCCCCAGCAGGCCTCGAAAGTGGCGACAGTTTCACAGATCGCAGCCCCCCAAGGATGGCGAGGTCTAATTTGGGTCCGCGCGGCGTCACTGTGCTGGGCCCCCCAGCAGGCCTCGAAAGTGGCGACAGTTTCGCGGATCGCAGCCCCCCAGGGACGGCGAGGTTTAATTTGGGTCCGCGCATGGCGTCACTGTGCTGGGCCCCCCAGCAGGCCTCGAAAGTGGCGACAGTTTCACAGATCGCAGCCCCCCAGGGATGGCGAGGTCTAATTTGGGTCCGCGCGTGGCGTCACTGTGCTGGGCCCCCCAGCAGGCTTCGAAAATGGCGACAGTTTCGCACACCGAATCTCCCCAGGGATGGCGAGGTCTAATTTGAATCCGCGCGTGGCCCTCACTGTGCTGGGCCCCCCAGCAGGCCTCGAAAGTGGCGACAGTTTCACAGATCGCAGCCCCCCAGGGATGGCGAGGTCTAATTTGAATCCGCGCGTGGCCCACTGTGCTGGGCCCCCCAGCAGGCCTCGAAAGTGGCGACAGTTTCACAGATCGCAGCCCCCCAGGGATGGCGAGGTCTAATTTGAATCCGCGCGTGGCCCTCACTGTGCTGGGCCCCCCAGCAGGCCTCGAAAATGGCGACAGTTTCACAGATCGCAGCCCCCCAGGGATGGCGAGGTCTAATTTGAATCCGCGCGTGGCCCTCACTGTGCTGGGCCCCCCAGCAGGCCTCGAAAATGGCGACAGTTTCGCAGATCGCAGCCCCCCAGGGATGGCGAGGTCTAATTTGAATCCGCGCGTGGCCACTGTGCTGGGCCCCCCAGCAGGCCTCGAAAATGGCGACAGTTTCGCAGATCGCAGCCCCCCAGGGATGGCGAGGACTGTGCTGGGCCCCCCAGCAGGCCTTGGCGACAGTTTCGCAGATCGCAGCCCCCCAGGGATGGCGAGGTCTAATTTGAATCCGCCGTGGCCCTCACTGTGCTGGGCCCCCCAGCAGGCCTCGAAAATGGCGACAGTTTCGCAGATCGCAGCCCCCCAGGGATGGCGAGGTCTAATTTGAATCCGCCGTTACCCTCTATGCAGGACCCCCCAGCAGGCCTCGAAAGTGGCGACAGTTTCACAGATCGCAGCCCCCCAGGGATGGCGAGGTCTAATTTGAATCCGCCGCGATTACCCTCTATGCAGGACCCCCCAGCAGGCCTCGAAAGTGGCGACAGTTTCACAGATCGCAGCCCCCCAGGGATGGCGAGGTCTAATTTGAATCCGCCGCGATTACCCTCTATGCAGGACCCCCCAGCAGGCCTCGAAAGTGGCGACAGTTTCACAGATCGCAGCCCCCCGCAGGCAAGACAGAAAGAGGCAGGAAAGAGGCGGGAGGCGGGAGGAGGAAGGACGCGACCACACTGCTCTATTCAAAACGAATACCCAACCAAGGAGGGTTGGGAAAAAAGTATCTTCACCAGCCCGTCCAGAAACGACGCCCAGGCGAGTAGAGGGTCGTCCTGAGGAGCTTTTCGACGTCTTGGGTGCCTCGGGGGGGGCCTCTGTGGGCCGTTCGGGATCCTCTTTGGGGCCTCCTGGGGGCCTCTTGGGGCCCCGTCCAGGTCCACGGGGAGGGGGTAGGGGGAGGGGTAACCCCCTCCCCGAAGGGAAAGAGGGAGGGGTGGAAGAGGAAACGCCTTAAACCACCGACGCCCAGAGGGCTGGTGGGATTGCCTCGATCAGGGAAGTGGACAGCACACAGAGGAAGCCAGTATGAGACATCTTGGGATTTCTTGAGCCATCTTGGAGGTCATTTTGGGCTCTCCGAGGCGCTCTTGGAGTCATCTTAATCAGTGCCCCCCCCCAAGAGGCCAACATGTGGCTAAAACCTTAGTGCAAACAATGGTTTGACATTATCGCCGAGGCCTCTGGGAGCACCTTGGGTGCCTCTGGGGGGTCTCTTGGGGCCTCTTGGGGGTCTCTTGGGGGCCTCCTGGGGGCCTCTTGGGGGGCCTCTTGGGGCCATCTTGGGGCCATCCTGCGGCCTCTTGGGGCATCCTGGGGGCCTCTTGCGGCCATCGTGGAGGAAATCGATCAAAGAAGAGGGGAGCTTTAATTAGCGCTGCCCTCTCAGCAAAATGGGGCCCAAACCATAGTAAAATCAATGATTTTGGCTTCCTCGCCGAGGCCGTTTTGGACGCTCTGACCGCTCGCGGCCCCCCCCGTCCAGGTCAGTGGGGAGGGGGTATGGGGAGGGGTAAACCCCTCCCCGAAGGGGAAGAGGGAGGGGTGGAAGAGGAAACGCCCTAAACCACCGACGCCCAGAGGGCTGGTGGGACTCCCATTCGGAGATCCCACACATCCCTTGACATCTGGCCAGTGCCGCGCCTCCCAGCTTCCAGGTGGCCCCCAAGACGCCCAAGAACTGCCCAAGACGACTCCGAGGAGCCCCCAGAACGTGAAGAACGGCCCAACACGCTCCCGCGCAGCCCGAGACACCCTTCCGACGGCTCTCCAGGCCTCCAGGAGGCCTCCAGAACGCGCGCACCAACGCCTCATTCAACACTATACAGCATACAACCGGGCAGACAACACATACAAAAAACGCACGCACCATACACTTTAGCAAAACATTGTTGTTTTGTTGTTGCTGTCCGTTTCAAAAAAAAAAAACACAAATGTTTTGCCAAATTCTCGGAGCCATGCGCAACAAGCGCTGCAACAACCTTGCGACAAGCAGCTTCGAGGGAATCCCGCGGCCAGCGAAGTCGCAGGCCGGCGCTGCAGGAAGCGCCGCGGCAAACAAACGGCAATGAAACGCTGCGGCGTGCACTAAGCGCGCGGCAATCGCCGCGACAACCGGCGCACCAAGCAATATTTGAGCAGACGAGGGGGGCGCAGCAAAAAAATACCAATAATACATCGGAGAAACCAGACGCCGAAACAAGCATGGCGGCAAAACCGACACCAATGTTGCACCAATGTTTGGGTTTCCTGCCTGTAGCAGGCAGGCCCGTCGTCACCCAGGGAGTCTGGAAGATCCCACACCCCTGAAGGGCCCGGCCAACAAAACCCGCGAGGCGCAAACAAAAAACAGCGCCGAACAGCGCCGAGGAACTGGAAAAAAATGGAAATCCCACAATTCCTTTTTTTGCCCCAGTTTGGCCCCCGGTCTACTCTTGCACAACAGACCACAATTCAGACCCCCCTCACCTCCCAAAAAAGAGCCCAGGAAGCATATGATGGCCCCAAATCGTTGAATATTTAATTTGAATTAACGATTTCTGCGTTTCCGCACTTCCCCTTCTATGCGATTCCGAGGCTTGCGCAGGGCCTCCACGGGAGCCCTTGCACGCAAGAAACAACCAACATGACATTACATGAGTTAGCCTATCAAGTTCTAGTATACATTAACAGGTGTGTATGTATATATATATATATATATATATATATAAAAATAAAAAAACGTGTGTATATATGTTTATATATACATACGGTCACCCCCTGGGCCCCGGCTTCCACCTCCGGGACATCTGCGGACAATCCCCCTCACCGTCCCCAGGAGGTTCCCAGGGAAGCCCCAAAACGCCCCAGGACGGCCCAAGACGCCCCCAAAGAGCCCCCAGAACGCGACAAAAATAGCCCAAGAAAGCCTTCCGACGGCTTTCCAGGCTCCCAGGATCGCCGAAGAGTTAACCAAAAGGCCTCCAAGAGGCCCCAAGAGACCTCCGAGAGGCGTCCTTCCATAGCCATGTTAGCTCAAGGCCAGCCTAGGGTTCGGGAGCGTCCCGGCCAACGGCGGCGTGCCGAGCAGTAGGGGGCGCCGACGCTAGACAGCACCTGGTCGAGTACGGAGGCGATTGTTTCGCCACAGTGGCGTCAATGCGTTGCTTTCTGGAGGCCATGTCCAGGGCAGCAGCCAGTCACATCGTGAGCGGAGGCGATCCCGAAGCGGTGCCCTCGTCTGAGGAGCAAGATCTGTTTTTCGCGCAGCAAGTCGGCGCTCATATTGTGCCGCTAGCTCGCCAGCGACAGCAGCACTTCGAGAGACGCACTGCCGCCGTTCTGGCCGCTATCATCCTGGGCATCGCGGGGACCATCGTTGCGCTGAGCGGTCGTGCGAAAGGGGGTGTCGTGTTCCCAGGCCCCGTCAGTGAAGAAGCTTCCAGCCTCGGAGTTGCGGTGTGCATATTGGGCCAAATGGCCCGCCTGGAGATCGACAGCAAAATTCGGAATATCGCAGAACCCATCGCCAATTTCGTCAACGTTGACTTTTTCTTGTCTCTTGAGGTTGGTGGTGCAGTTTACAATAACCAGGAGACGGACACCACGGGCGAGGAGGGATGCAGCAGCACCGCCTCTTCAGTGGAGGCAGTGAAAGAGGCATTCGCGCCTTACTTCAGGGGCGGCAGGTTGGAACCCCACAAGAGCGAGAACGTCGCACTGGATAGGTGGCCAATGTTGTACAAGTACAAGCACCCGAGTAATACTTACTCTGACCGTGCAGCCAGGGCTAAACACATTGCCAACGTGATGAGCCAGATGAGACACCAACAGGAGTGTGCCGATCTCATTCAAGAGCACGAGGAGTCCACAGGTGGCCGATACGATCTCGTGTTGAAGGTGCGAGACAACACTCTTGCGTTGCGACCGGTGGTGCCAGAGAAGCTTCTGAATGTCACGGAGGTCACTTTCAAGCATTGCGCATCTTGGGGAGGTCTTCAGGACAAGGTCATGCTACTTCCGCGCAGCTACCTTGAGAAGACGCTGGGTGACACCTATCGTTCCATGCTCGCGGTTACGAACGACCCAGTGTTGGATCCGAGGTTGAAGAAGATGTCAATGGAGTCAAAAAATACCGAGCAGGTCCTGAAACATGTGATCGTCGCCAACGGCGTTCCTTATCACCAGATGAAGTTTGACGAAGAGACCAACGAATCGCATGGCTCTGATTATTTGCCTTTTGTGGACGGCAGGTGCCATTCAGGGGGCACGTCTGGCAGTGAAGACCGGTGGTGTGTCGTGTCGCGTTGCAAGGATTGCTACCCACGGGCGCCCTGGGCATTCAACGCGTCCTGCTCGGTCGACATGCACACCGGACAGATATCGAAACCGATCAACTTCCTTGTGAAGTGTCGATAGATGTTGCGTGGTATGCCTACGGAACCTCAAAGAGACTCGTGCATCGGATTATGCGAGTATTCGCGCAAGTCCCAGCAAAGGCTGGGCGCCTGAAGTCATGCTTGATTTGGATGCAAAAAAAATCTGAGAGGCGTCCCGAGAGGGGCCGAAGAGCCCAACACCGTTGATGTTCATAGGCAAGCTTCCTAAAAACGAACTTCAATCAATCGAGTCCACAAGTGTCGAGGTCCAATGCTCGTCGCCTACCACGTGGGGCGGCCGCTACGTATCAGTCGGAAGCGTATGTCTCGTCTCCATGGTTGGTTTGGCGTTTATGGGCAGTTCCGGGCGTGTCTTCTTTAAGAAGCAGAATGAAGGCGTTACCACTGAGGACCGCGCACTTGTCGTTACTTCGAACGCCATCGCCACCAGCGTCAAACCCGACGCTTGGTAAACCCGATTGTAGGTCCCAACCGCCTGAGGCCGCCCTCCACCAAACATAGTTGCAACGCCTGCGTCTACCTTCCTTCCGACAGCTACCTCGCCTTCCGCTGACCATGGGGTCAACTTCGACCCTTGCCCCTTCTACCCCAGTATTCCCCCCTCGTGCATCTTCTCTTCCTTGTGCTCCCGTGCAGGGCCACGCCGATTTTGAGCGCCAGAATTCTAAGCAACAGTGCGTTGTTTAGGCAGGCCCGTGCTGAGCAGCAGGTAGGACACCGGGCTGGTGCAATCCAAGCCCCAGATCTGCACCGGATCAACTCTTGTTCTTTTGATCTGATTCTAGACGCGTCTCCCATGGATCTCCCACGGGACGATCGTACAGATATCAGTGCACTACCTGCGCATGTCCCTGCGACTGGAGTGGGCAAAGATACCAGCTAGTTGTCGGTGGCCGATGTCTACGACGATTCGGGCGGGGCTGGTCTGGGCCAGTGGCGCGGGGGGTAGGGGGGGGGGGGGGCGGTGGTGGAGCGCGGGAGGTCCTCGCGCAGACGTCCCCCCTCCTCCTGCTCCTCCTCCTCCCCCATCCTCCTCCTCCTCCTCCTCCTCCTCGTGCCGCGACCTCAAGGCCGAAGGCAGCGCCGCCCTGGATGGGTTCACGGTGGCGATCCTCAACCAGCAAGGGTATTCCATCGTGCTGATCGCCTTCTACGGCTACTGCTCCGAGGGCCTCCACGGCAGGAACTTGGTGCGTTTCGCCAAGCTGGGGGCCCTCGTCTCTCAGCTGAAGCTGCCGTGGATCTGCATAGGCGACTTCAACCTCCCACCGTCTGTTCTGGCCGACGCTGGATTTTTGGATCGCGTGGGTGCCAATGTCCTCACCGCTGCCGACACGGAGTGCACCTGCGTGGGCGGCATGGGCAAGGGCAGCACGCTGGACTATGTCATGGCCAGTTTTTCGGCGTTACCGTATATCGTGGGTTTGAGTGCAGTTTTGTCAGTGCCTTGGCGACCGCATTGCGGGCTTCAACTTCGGCTGAGAAGTTCGGGGTCTCAACTGCTGTGTCGACAGCTGGTGCTTGCAGCTCAACTCCCACAAGTACCTCGACCTACCACCCAGCCGCAAGAGGGTTCCAAGTCGTCTTTGGCCCGAGGGGAGCGTATCCTGGCACGACGGGCGGCTCAGGACAGGATGGCGACGGCGACGGATGAGATGTTCGGAGACCTCTGCTCTGCTGGAGGTGCGACGGCGTCTACATCGGCGACGACTTCTTCCTCTCAGGGCGAGCCCAGTGCGCAGGCCAATTCTCTTGCCCCCGACTGGCACGAGTCGGACGGCGAGGACGACTACGTGCCCCCAGGTTTCTTTGGACCCGAGGCTGGCAGCCCAGCGGCTGCCGTGCCTCCAGCCTCGCCCAGGCCCGAAGAGGCCGAGGTCGCGGCTCCGTCTCACGACATATCGAGTGTGCTTACCGCACCCCACGAGTCTCGGGACCCACCCAGTTGTTCTGCCTCCCCCGAGGTCCCCTCGAGCACCCATGGCGGTGCCCTGCCTGCCTTTTCCCCCCCTCTGACCTCTGGGACTCCTGCAGGGCACAAGTGGGCTACACGGACTCCGCTGGCGCCTCGGATGTTCTTCTTGCCATTGCCAACTCTGCTGCGTTTGCGGTTGGGGGACCACATATTCTACGTCTGGGAGCTCTTTATGGATCTTGGGTCAAAGCTTTGGAGCGTACCGTCTGTATTCACCATGGGACGAATCTAGCGGGGCCTTCCAGGGACTCAGGGCCTAAGTACACCGTCGCCGAGGTTAAAGCTCCATCTAAAGTTCGGGAACAGCCTCTTCATGATCAGGTGTCGTCTTGGTGGGGCAGGGTCACCACAGTACTGACCAAGCTCAGCTTGCATCGTTCTCGTGGCAACGGACCCATACAGCAGCAGCAGCAGCTCGCGGAGGCGTGCGCGGCCTTGGCAGGGGACCAGCCAGACAGCGTACACGTGCCTCTCGCCTCGCTTGCCGACCCGACCGTGGCCTCGTGGAGCGAGTGGCAAGCTCGGCTACTAATTGTCACCGACTTGCCTGATGCCAGCCTGCACGAGATGGCCGTCACGGCCAAGCGCATCACAGGTCGAGCTCGTCGGCGGGCTTTGGGGGCGTCTCTTAAGGAGCTTAGTGCTTGGATTTCGACCTCGGAGGCTCCTGGGATCCTCCACAAGGCTCTTAAACAGACCCCTCCTGTCCCCGATGAGCTCGTAGTCGACGGCCAGGTTATGCATCATCCCCTGGACATCGTTGATAGCAAAGCCAGTACGTGGAAACAGCTCTGGGGCCCAATGGAACCCGATCTACACGATGTCCAGGAGGTATTCCACGAAATTCGCGAAGTTGCTCGGCACGAACGCCTCGAGCCACTTTCCCACGACAGAGTCCGTCAAGCGCTACATTCCATGCGAGCTAAGACAGGACTCGGGGTAGACAAACTCACCCCGTTGGATATGGAACGTTTGCCTTTTGCTGGAGTTTCGGAGCTCGCTGGGCTTTACAATGCCTGCGAGGAATGCCTCTCCTGGCCCTGGCAGGTCCGCCTGGTCGTGGGGAAGCTTTTAGGGAACAAATCGGGTTCGGACCGCGTTATTGGTCTCATGTCTATGTTTACCAGGACTTGGTCCCGTGCTCGGGAGGACGACGTCCGTTCTTGGTCTCAGGACTCCGAGCCTGCGTGGGGCGCCGCGGCGGCGGGGAACTCGGCGCTCCGCGAGGCCTTCGCCCGCGCTTTGAAGGACGAGGCGCAACTTGGGGATCGCTTTCGGGGAGGGCCTCGTAGACATCAAGGGGTTCTACGATGAGATGCAGTGGGGTCCTCTGGCTCGGGCCGCTCTCAGGCTCGGGTTCCCTCCTGAGGTTCTCTTCTTGGAACTACAGATGTGTGCTGCACCTCGTACGGTCTCTCAGTTGGGGCCCTACTCCGAGGCCTTCCAGGTCGTCCAGAGCATCATTCAGGGGCTCAGGTATGGGACGCGTTTCGGGCGATGTGTGATCTATTTCATCATGAGTAAGATTACAGTGGCTCATCCGTCTATGTCTGTTCGGGTTTGGGTAGACGATATCAATGAGCATGTCGCTGGCTCTCGGAAAGCAGTCCGAGAGAAGTTATATCAAGGCGTGCTCGACGCGTGTCGGGCCCTTGTGGCGCACGGCTTGCCTGTGTCACCCAAGAGCGCCATCGTGTGCACCAACGCCTCTGACAGCAAAAGTGTTGTCCAACGCCTTCGGCGTCGGGGTTTTCATCTTCAGCATGCTCTTCAAACCACTCTCCTCGGGGCTGATCTTGGGGCAGGTCGCGTTGCGCGGGCTTCTCGGACCAAACGGGTGGCTAAGGCGAAGGGCATAAACTTCAGGATTTGCAAGTTCTGTCGGGCTTCCAGGAAATATCTCAGGACTGGATTACTTGAACGTGTCGGGGCGCAAGCTGCAGGCAGCTACGGGCACCAGATTGTGGGGGCTTTCGGTACCTTTCGGCAGCAGTGCAGACGTCGCCTCGATCACGCGCTTTCTTCGGCCACGCGCGGTCGGTGTTTAACTGCGGTTCTCGATCTGCGGGCCGACGGACATGATCTTGGGTACAAACTTCCGAGGGAATGTTTTCAGTTATGGTTACGCACTTGGTTCCAGGATCCGTCGCTCCGACCCGCAGTTCGCGCGGCTTGGCCGCGTGTAGTTGCTCAGTTTCGGCAGATGGAGCCTCGGCAGGTTTCACGGGCAGTGCGGGGGCCCATCTCCGCCATGGTCGCATATCTTCTTGAGTTCGGATGGGATTCAGTATCGCCGAGCGAGTGGCACACACCAGCTAGCGATGGCGATCCTGGAGCGATTTGGACGTTCCCCGATGAGGTCGTTTCTTGGTCGGAGGATTTTAGTGGGTTGGTGTCCGAGTTCGAGAAAACGGTCCGTCTCAAGCTTTGGAAGTCAGCGGCGTCACATTTTTGCGGGGAAGGGGTCCAGCACGGGGTGGATAACCATTCTCTTCGGCAAGTTCTAGCAGCGCTCTCGTCTGTACCGCGCGGCACTCAGCTATGTGAGACCATGTTCGCTACTGCAGTGGGAGGGACATGGCCAAAGGGAAGGGTTGCGGATGGGACGAATGCGCAGTGCGATGGCCTCTGTCCTCGGTGTTTGGAGAGCAAGGAGACACCTCTTCACCGAGGCTGGCTGTGCAGTTTTATCAAGGACCATGCAGTGTATTCTTCCTCTGCTCATCTTGTACCTCGTGCTGTTGCTGAGCACGACGCAGCAGCATGTTTCTGGTCGCGGGGCCTCATCCCTGCGCGGTGGACCTCAGTGGAGCCTCCGCCAGACAGCGAGCAGTGGCACATGTACCATGCTCGGCATAGCAATTTCCCAGCTGCTGGAGGGCTCGGCATCGGCACCCCTGAGGAGCCCATCATTGTCTTCGGGGACGGCAGCGGGGGTGAAGATAGTCGTGATTCTCGTCTTCGGCGCGTCGGTGTCTCGGCTGTCTCCCTCAGCGACTACGGCGACCCCACGGTTGCAGCGTGTATCTTCGGAGGACTTCCTGGGGGCTCTCAGACTGTCCCTCGGGGGGAGCTCTGGGGCCTCTTACTGGCGATCAGGCACACCTTGGGGTCCCTGGTTTACGTGTCCGACAACGGCGGGGTCGTCAATGGGTGGTTTCAGAAGAAGTATTCAGCCCCATCGGGGCCCAACGCTAGTATTTGGAAGCTCACCGGCTTAGCTCTCGAAGGACGTGATATATCACAGGTTACCGTTTTACAGGTTCCTTCTCACCTCGAGGCTGAGCAGCATGTAGATTCCAAGTTGCCGATGTGGGTGTTCATCGGGAACCAAGTCGCTGACACTCTTGCTGGAGTTGCTGCCAGTATGGTGCGTGTCAGCCAGGATACCAGGACAAGAATTGGGAAGGTTGAGTTGGAAGCAGGGCTCGTCCGAAAAAGGTTGCTTCGATCCACTCTCGAGACCATGGCCGCGTCCCCGTCCGCTCCACGCGCCCGTGATCAGACCAAGGCACCCAGACCGCCAGCTCCCAGCGTTGTGTCCGTGTTCGAGTCCGAGCACACCTTGTCCGAGAGTGGCCGTGCGTGCCTTGTTTGTCGGAGCTCGGCTTCGGCAGCGGCAGCCACGGCGTGGCGTAGGAGTCAGTGCTATAACCTGCAGTCTGTCGACTCCGCCCTTTTCCAGGTGCCGAGGGGACAGTCGGTGCATATCGGGGGGGGACTGGGTTCACGAGACTCACAAAATGGTTTATCAGGCCAAGAATAATGTGTGGATTTGTAGTTCCTGTGGGTGTTTCGGCGTCGAGCAGCTTCGGGCTTCCTTGGCCCAGCCTTGCCTCGGCACCCTCACCTCCACTGGGGCTGCTTATCTCCGCAGAGTGGAGGATGGGCAATGTCCCAAGTACCCCTCCAAGCGTGCGAAAGGCTCCTGAGGAGTTCTTTCCTTTTCTTTCATACGCACCGCGT